ATTTGTATTTTATCTCTGTTGAAGGAATGCAAATACCGTTATACTCACTTCTCAGATGACTTTTCAAACCAGTGATATTTGAATGGCTAGAAATTTAAAAAAAAAATGTTTTTGTTAAACCTCTGGTGGTGCGCACTCTTCTTGTTTATTTGCATTTAGGCTCCTGTGATAATATTCTGGTAAGATCTGAGATAGGATTTTCATTTCCAAGAACTAGACTAATTTGTGAAACTGGAGATGGAATACTCAGTGTGACTTCTCAGGTGATAAGATAGCACTCAGTGAAATAGCAAGGAGCATTTAACAGCTTTACAGAAAGGATCCTTTTTCTGAGAGCGTTCAACCCCGATAGAACCAGGAAGTTTAGAAATTGTGTAGAAAGTCGTGCCTTCCCGAGATCTGGTCACTGTCTAGGTCAAGAGTTAGACATGGTTTAGACAAGGTTCACATGCTGATGCTTTGTCATCCGTAGGTGGAGAAGCTGATACGAATTTGAGCATCTGATATGCAGCTGGTACACAGTCCACTTGTTCTTAACCTTGTTAAGTACTGCATTTTTAAAAACCATCTTTTTCAGCCTGCATGGTACTCCTCTGGCAACACTTTTTATGGGGCTTCAGACCTGTGCCCAACAACTAATTTTGTTCTTGTTTCTGTAGCATTTTCTATGATTTCTGCCAAGATATTGGTATATGTGAAGAACTGTGCATTTGTTGAACTCTAGGGTTATTTCAATTTTGTAGGCTTTAGTCAATAATCATCAATTACCTAGCCACAGCGTGAGAAGTGATATTCACTGGTAGAAGAACAGTACTTTACAAGTGCATCCAAAGCTGAAAAGATGGTATACAGAAATACTATACTCTTGGGAAGTTTAATAATGTCGATTTTGGAGTTCCTTCACATGCTTGCATAGAAGATGGATTACTCTATGGAACAGGTTCAATTCTCAGTCTTACCCAGGTAAATCCAGAGTGATTCTCCTGAGCACAGCTGACTCCACAGTCTGCCTCTGTGTTAATTTGGCTGCAGCGATGGAGTTGTTATGCATACTAGACTGTGGCTTTTCATTGCAATTGGACCATATCAGTGGTATCTGGACCTACATGAAGAGACTGAATTTGGCAACTTGATTTGTGTCCATCCCTCTCACTTTCATTTAGAAAACCATTTGAAAAAAGCATATCATGTCAGTTCCTCTCAGTTTTGATAGTGATGGTTAACCTCCTAAACAGCTTTCCTTTATTGAGAATTTCTCAGTTAGAATGTAATTCATGTTTAGTAATTATGAAATGTGTATTTCATGAACTGCCTTGCCGACTGAGGAAGCTTCAGTTATTTTTTCTTTCAAAACAGATACATGCCCTTACCTCCCCAGCTAGACAAAACCAGTGATGAATAGTCACTCTTATCATCTTGCTGAAATATCAAAGTTGTCTCCCCTCATGGCAGAGAATACCAAACCGTCCAACGGGAAAGCAGGCCGTGTGAATAGCCTTGCTGAATTCCTAATTGTTTGC